ATATATATATATATATATGTTAAATAAAAATAGAAATTAAAATAAGTTTAAAATTCGGACCAGAAGTGAAAGAAAAAGTCAAGACATGGGTGAAAGTTGTAAATTCGCGATAGTTAAGGGGTTGGGTCAGATGTAAACAGGTCCAAATCAGAAGGACCTGTTTTGTAATTATGCATCAGACCTGCAAAATCAAGAGGACCTGTTTTGTAATTATGCATCAGACCTGCAAAATCAGGAGGACATGTTTTGTAATTATGCATCAGACCTGCAAAATCAGGAGGACCTGTTTTGTAATTATGCATCAAACCTGCAAAATCAGGAGGACCTGTTTTATAAATATGCATCAGACCTGCAAATTCAGAAGTACGAAAACGACCTCACATTTGAAGCTCCCTATTGGCCTGAATATTCAACTATTACGACAAAAATTTCAATATACATATAGACTACACTTTGCTCTCCATTCTTGCTTCAAGAAAACCAAACTTTCGTTGAGAGTCGAAGGAGAAATCGGAGGGTGAAGTTCGGATTCGAAAAGCTCTGTTTATTGACGATTGGAGGTAAAATACTCAACCAAATTTCGAGTTCTTTATATGGATGGCTTCGTTTTTAGGTCCTCTATAAAACCTTAGTAGCCTTATGTCTTAGATTTTAGTTTTTGAATGTTCGATTTTGAGTTTTTACTGATTTTCGAGTGGTTTTAAAACCGAAACTTTAAATGAGTAAATGTAACTCATTTCTTAATGAAAATTCGTGTTCTTTATGTCAAAGTGTTGATTATTCATCTCCTTTCTATTCTATGCCTGAATCACTTCTTATATAGGCGGTATTTTCATGATAACTAAATTCTATAAACAAGGAAATAATCATTATCCAAAATAGGATTAGCATTATCCTTCAAGATTCTGAAGATAGTCGTTCGGAGACCAGATGATAGACTAACCAGAGGGGCTCTGGTCGATACAACCAGAGGGGCTCTGGTCCATACAACCAGAGGCTCTGGTCGTCCATAGAGGCTCTGGTCTTCTTCCAGACTTAGTCGTTTTAGCACAGCGGCATCTTCAGAAGTTCCATCCTTAGCCTCGGTGGCTTAATAAAACTTTTTTTTAGAATAATTAGGATCAATTTG